GCGGCAGACATTTGCAGTGAGAATTCTGCTGTATGACTATCTTGTCAAAGAGTATCAAGTTATGTTCAAGGTCCGAGACCTCTTTAATCCTTAAACGGTCTGGGACCAGTGTACCTGAGAGACTGCCTCAGGATCCACAATCGTTGTCAACAGACCGAGGTTAGCGTAACGCTTATGCTCATCTATGCAGAAAACAGGCCTTTCTCAACATGGTTTGTTGCAGAACAGGAACAGCCTGCCAAAGGAGAGCAGAGTTGCCAGCCGTGTTGTCTTTTGCCTCACCTTCGTGCAGGTCTCTGGCCTTGCCTTCTCTGAAGTCCTCTGTGTGAGAAAAGCCCTTGCCAAAAGTGGCAGGACGGCGGCGTGCAGGAGGAAGCAACAGAGCAGCCCATACTCGCAGTCACATTAGTACATAGCTGGTAGGCACTTAGCACTGCAGGTAAAAGACAGACATTCCCATCGAGTATTCCTCCACCAGAGTGGCTGTACTTTCCCAGGAATAAATACAAACGTGAGTTATTAGGAGAAAAGTCCTTTGGGTGCCTCCAGGAGTCAGAACAACAGATGCTAGCCTGATAGTGAGAAATGCATGTGCAGTTCCTTACGTTTCAGAGCAAACGGCTGTCCTTTCAGTTCTGCATCAGTTGAGTTTTTGGGAGCTCTGGACAATTCTTGGTCTGCTTCTGAGAATCCCACCGTAACAGTCAGCTGGTGGGAAAGGGCAGAAGTGGGGCAAGCAGGCGAGGATGCTCAGCACACTGAAGCCCATTTGAACCTTGGAAGCACAGTATGCATGAGTAAGACAGACAGTGGCCCAGTGAATGAAGTCAGGCATTTTTTCCTTCCTTTGGAGTAGCAGAATAAAGTTTTCTAGCCATACAATTTCAGGCAGAATTTTAAAGCCAATGAATATGAACTTAGTTAACCAAGTTATTTCTCGTTCAGGAGGGAAGTAACTCTGAAGCTCACCTCACTCTCCTTTAATGCCCGATCCAAGAAGACCTGTGAGTAGTGACAGCTAGGGGAGTGCTAGTGGGCACAAGTCACAGGAAGAGTTTAAATGATCACAGCCTAGGCAGCATTCAAAATGCCCTACTGTAGCAGATGGATTTTGTTTGTACTAC